TTCAAGTCGTTGGGTCTAGGACTCACTGCTGGGTCCAGGACTCAAACCACAGTCGGCCATGTGAGATCTAGCCACTTAAACCTCCATGCCACCAGCTGGCCCTACCAAATTCCTATTTTTGAGGTTGACAGAGAGCTAATAATGTACACCAGAGCAACAGACATGGAAATCCTATTTGTCTGTTATGACTGGTTGTTGTGGGTGCTATCCTGGTTGTTCGGTTTTCCTTTTCTGTTGTTGTTTTATTTTTTGTTTGCCATAGGCCATGTGCACTTGCCAGAAAGATAGCTTGAGACAGAGAGGGAAAGTGAAAAATCACCCCTCAGCGGGAGAGCCATGTCACAATCCTTTCTCCTCCATTCTTCTCTAGAAATTTTGGGCACACATGTACATGTGCCCAGCATGATTTTCAAGCTGCCAGGTCTAGGACTCGAACTGTGGTTAACCACATGGGTATTCAGCACCCTAACCACCACAGCACCTGTTAGCTCCAACCAGCAGGCTCTTTGGTATTTTTAATAGTAACCTTAGCTGTGCAAATATACACAACTTGAATTTTCCTGTGTGTTCAAATGACAAAGATAAAGCTTTAGAAAACAGCTTTAACACTCATAGTTTATGCTTTAAAACATTTTATTGAGAAATAACAGCATATATTTTCTTTGTGTTCCCTTTATCTCACTTTCAAAGCTCATGAGTTTAACTTAATATTTTGACTGGATAAACTTGTTTATGTCAGATAAAAGAAATGCATAGGCTACTAAAATATGGTGGTGAAATAAAGGAGTTTAAAGGAACTGACTTCTTATTGAAGAACAAACTTTAAAGGACTGAGATCCACTTGAAAAAGATTATTTGGTTTTTAACAGGCATGCACCAACATGGCTGTGCCTATGTGTAGGTTTGATAAATGTGCTTTTGTTTTCTGTGATAGACCAAAAAAAGATCCAAAATGTAAATATGACAGCTTCAAACTTTCATTACAAAGCTGATGCTTGGATTTTTTTTTTTAAAGCTGTGAACTTGGCAGAAAGGAGTTTCTTTTTCTTATCATTATCATTCCTTAACAGTGTGGTATGTCTAGCAATGATTTCAAACAGAAATGTCATTGTTTTTCTGCATGGCTTTTGGCAGAGCAGGCTGTTTCATTGGGCTTAAGCAAGGAATGATACAAGCAGTAGAGAACAAAGTAAAACTAATGAGCTCTAAGTATAAAAAAAGTGTGAAGCCAAGTTAGCAGTGGGTAAGAAAAATAAATATGAAAAAAGTGCAAGGGCGAACATGGGAAGATATGCAGGCATTAGTTTACTAATAGGTGTGAATATAACTTAAAATGCTTGTGGGAAAAAAATGTAAAATGGTGTAAAATAAATTAAGCAAGTTTGCAGCTGTGATTCCTCCAAGAACTCTCGCCAACCAGACTAAGTAAAGGTCATGGGGCCTTAAAGATAGTATCCACCCAGAAATGGTATCATTTTCATAGCTGTGACAAATACTAGTCCTAAAAAGACCATAAGCTAAACGTCCTCATGGGGTTACTGGATGAGGGCAGCAAATTACCATCTGGGCAGTTTTAATATCTTAGAGTTCTGCTCTATTTGACTTGCAGTTGAACCACAGAGAATCATAGTCTGCATTCCCAAGAGACAGAAAGTATGTCAAAGGGGAAGACACAGTTTAGTCTGAAATTCA